AAATGTATGTACTGTAATTTGTATAACTTTAATGTGATTAAATTTTATTCAAAATAATGGAATTACTACTTACTTCTGAAATAGAGAAAAATTATCAAAAACTCTTCCTTATGCAAAAAAAAAAAAATAATAAATAAATAAATAATTAAAATTAAAATTAAAATAAAAATAAAATAAATAAATAATAATTAATTTATAAAATTTATAAAAATTATATCGAAATGAATTTTTTTTAAATAATAAAAATTTATTTTTAAATATTTCTTAAAAATATATATTCATGTTAATCCATGTATGATAATAAATTATATATATTAACATATTTTACTATATTTTAAGGAAGTAGAAAAAATCTTCAATAATTAATATTCAAATTTTTATGGTTTTATTTATTTTTATTTATATTTTTTATTTATTTATATATTTTTTATTTGAGTAAAAACTAAAAAATCAAAAAAAAAAAATCATTTTAATTAACCTGTGATAGTGCATTTGAACTTTAAATTATCATATGTCAGAATTCTTATTAAAGGAATTCAGCTTAATTATTCCCAAATGTTGCAGCAGCTCACAGGCCACTCGAAATGAATGAAGTTTAACAGTTAATGCCACTCGATGCGCGCTAAGTAATTAAGTGGCAAAACGTTCGAGTGTGCAACTGTGCTGCACTTGCCGCACATAATTTGACAGACAAACAGACAAATGCCATTTGCAACAATATGTGGCAGCAACAAGAACAACATGTGGAGAGGAAAAAGAGCAACGCATACAAACACTCAACATCAACAAGTTCATTAAAACAAGAAAAAACTGTTGCCAAAGCAAAAAGCACTCGTTCGCTTTCATTCAGCTCAATTAACTCTTCACTTGAAGTTTGTGCAATTTGTTGTTGTTGTTGCTTTATATGCACAGACTGCCTTTTTTATCTGTAAGTCAACTACCTACCTACTGCAACTTGCCCTCCCTCCCCCACACTTTATCACTCTTCGCATGATTTAACTACTTGCACACCTTCGCAATTGGCAAAAACCAACAAAGAGCTACGCAAAAAAATCGGAAATGATGCGGCTCATTTGTGTGCGGCCACAAAAGAGCGACCCATGCATTCAAAATGGACAAGAAGGAATGTTTTGAGTTTACATTGATCGAATATAGTATGCCCTGAAAAATTTCATTTACAGTTTGTTTAAAAATTCTTTTACTGCGATAAGGTGAAGTGAAGTTAATAATTTTATCTTTTTTAAGAAAAAAAAAAAAAAAATTATATAAAATATAATAAAAAAAAAAAAAAAAATTATCAAGCTTAATTATAGTTGATCTTTTAATAAATATTCTTTTATTTAAGTAAAATACTTTGTATTATATTGTATACAAATATTTAAATACTTATACTATATATTTATTACTATGTTTTTTTATTTTTATTTTAATTTTTTTTTTTTAACTTTTTGAATGAGAATCCCAGTACAAATACATTGATATATACATATATAGATATTTTAGTATCAATCATTTAAAAGCATATTTTTACATTTCGCAATCAAATATACATTTGTTTATATATTAAAAATTTGTTTAAGCATATTATTTAAGATAAATAACTTATTAAGTATGATTTTACCCATTTCTAGGGTATCTAGGGTATCTGTCGGAAGCGGAAATGACGCTGCAATTGAATTGTGTGCGCATTCTATGAGCTGAAACATGCTCAAACAGTTGCCTCCTGCCGGCAGACCGTCTCTCCCTTTTGCTCATGTTCACGTTTTGTTGCACTTTATGGCCAGCGAAGTGTGTCGATGGTAGCGAAAGTGAAACCGCTAAAAAGTTCAGAGTTGGCCCCTATTTGCTTTACTTTGTTTGGTTTTGTATTTTTTTTTTTTTTTATTCGTTCATTCTGTTAAGGCACATGCATTGTTAACAACCACCAGGACAGCGTCCCACCCCGCACCCGGCGGCCAAGAACACATTGCGATGCCAGCCGGAAGTTTGTGGTGGGAAATTTCATTTATGCTGACACTTGACTTGGTCGAACTCGCCCTTTTGCTATGCAGCAGCAGCACGCTCGTCGGTCTGCCTGTCTGTCTGTCCCTTTGGCTTTAATTTGCAGCAAATAAATAATGGAAACAGACATTGAGTCCTGTGCCCGATTTACTGGCCATTTGGCCTTGACGGCAGCGCATAGCATTGCTACCAATTCTATTCAATTTGCTTGGCCAGCGGAGCTCGTATTATGCTTCAAGTTGTGCACTTTTTCCATTTCCTCTGCCTGGGCGGAAGTGGAAACGAACTTGCCGGTAAATGGAAGGGGAGAACGGCGGGCACAGAGGTGTCGAGAGACCACAGAGCACTCCATTGATTTTGTTGCTCTTTTGTCGTTGTCTTAGACGTTTTAGCTTTTTATTTGTGTTTTTATATGCCCTGGCACTGAGCCGTCCATCGGGCAAGTTTGCCGTTGGCGTTAAATGTGACAATTTAATTGTTTGGTAATTGTTGGCCTTTTGAAGTGGACTTTGATTTATAGCCAAATTGAATAAATGATAGATAATTCCTGTCTGTCTATCGTTACATTCATGCTTAATTCAATTGATTTTTGTTTTATAAATATTGAAAATAAAATTGTGAGGTAAATGTAGGTAAACTTCAGTCAATTACCAAGCTTTATCAACAGTTTTCTGTTTTATAACTTATAGTTTGACCTTAAGCTTGAGTTTACTGTGTGAAAATTTACTTTTATTGATAAGTCTATGTGAAGGTTACTTATACGTATGCTGCGTTGTGGAAATTTACAAGAATTTGAGAGCTTTACTACAATGAAAATAAGCATTTAAAATAATTATTGAAAATAAAATTCGTTTTAGCTGGACAAAATATTTACATATTCAATTTCAACTGAGGTGGTAGAGTATCATGCGTCAGTCGGAGGACTTTAGAGGACTTAGTCTCATTTACAACAACAACAATAAGGTCACAATAGACGGTCTATTAGAGAAATCGTATTTATCATAGAAAACTTCTTCAGAACGTCCGGCAAATCATTTTCATTTTTCTTATTTATTTTCTCTGACAATTTTTTAAATAAATATATTAATATATTTTATATTATTTTATTTAATTTCTATATTTTACTTTCCTTTTAATTTTTGCTATTTAAATTTTTTATTTTAATATGTATTTTTAGTTTAATACTTTATTTTCTAAATATATTGGGTATATATTTTTGGGTATTTTTTGCCATTTTAATTCTTAGTTTAATATTTGCTAAAATATTTGTTTAAATATTTTACTTTGCCAAATTATATGAAACTTGTATATTTTCTTCACTTATCTTTCTTTTATATTTTTTAAATTTAATTTAATCTCAGCACTTAGGTGCACTAAATTCATCTTGCAACTCAACACCAGACCAACTCTTATTTGTCGTTAAATCTTTAAATAATTGGATAAAGGCTACTGTGCTGAAACTCGTCTTATTTTCGCTTAAAGTTGCTACCCAAAACTCTTTGCGCACAGCCTTCCGCAAGCTCTTTAGCTGCATTACCTTGAGATTTTTGTGTTGCTTGCCGAGCGAGCTGAGCATTTGTCGTGTGAAACACGTCTAAGTAGTAAACAGAGGCTGCAGCCGAAACTTTTGTAAATGATTGCAATGCATGAAATTGGCTGGCATTCAGCTCAAGAGCAAGCGTCGTAGAATCAGCTGCAGCTGCTGCTGCCCCGGCACAGGCATAAGTTTTGCCCTGTTTCCTACGCTGGCGCGCAAATGAAGTTAGCAAAACTGATTAACTCTCGGCAGCAGCAGCAGGAGCAGCAGGAGCAGAAGGACGAGCAGGAGCAGTAGCAGCAGCAGCAGCAGCAGCAGAAGAAGAAGCAACTTGAGCCTGGCTACAGGTCTTAAGAGTTGCAACATAATTGAATCTTGCACGCCCGAGTCCAACGATTCGTGGCGCCCTGCCTAGCCCTGCCTGGCTCCTAATGATAGTCTGCTTGATATAATTTTAATGAAATACTTGCTGCACTTGCACTTGCATTCAAATACAATTACAATATTTTGTTCAGCAATTTTCGAATTAATTCTCCAATGGCTTAACGCACACACACACATACAGTCACATAAATCTTTGGCTAGCTGCAGTCACGCCCCCTTTGTCAAGTGGGCTAAAAGGTTCATCAGCTTTTAAGCTGCAGTTGGTGTCACTCCATTTTCGACTGGGACTTGATGCAACCCATTACCCTAAGCCACACCTACATTTGCTGTACGACACGCCCACAGCTAAGAGCCAGTTGTATTTGGCTGTGTGCTAATTCTGGCATTTCCCATGATAAATGGCAGCCACAACAAACATTTATAAAAGCGCGCAAAAACGCCATTCACTAAAGAATTCGCACAATTTTGCAAACATATTTTTATACAGCTGAATAAGAGTTTAAAATGGGCATATTAGCTTTCCACATGTCTCAGCTGCTTTGGAAAAATATGTTTTCTTTCTGTGCTTTACTTATTCTGTGTGAAAAATTTCGAGTTTCAAGAAATTTTCTTTAAGTTTCACTTTGTATTTAGTGCCTTTATGCAGCGCATTAGGCAGTCAGTCATACCCGTTTAGCTCATCCTCTCTTGTGTCATTGAAAGTTATGATTTTTCATAAATTTTGCAGCTGACCCTTTGGCACTTTCAACTGTTTGCTGTCCCTTAAGCCAGCTTACTTGACTCTGCATTCGCCACGATATCTCTGATGCACAGCCAAGGTAACTGGGCGTGGCGCAGTGGGCGTTCGTTTTGCCACACATAAAACACTTGAAAAAAAAGGAAAAAATTGTTACCCAAGTCTCTTGCTCTTGGCTTTGGCTTTGACATAAACATAAACTGGCCATGAATCTGCTTGGCATCAGCTTATCCGGACTTGGGCATGTGAGCCCCGATGTGGTTAGCATTTGAGTGTGGCTCAACTTTGCTCATATGAAATCAATTATGTCACTAATGAATAATTCTCTTGGTTCTTTTGCAGACTTGGGTCGCCAAAGCAAAGGTAAGTAGGAGCAGAAGTTTTAATGACTTGGCCAAGTCTAATGCGATTTTTTTTAGATGTAAGATTAATTATTATAATGCCTAGATTAATATGAAAACATTTTGAGATTCATTGGGATATAATGAATGTGTTTCAATTTTCGTATTGGTTAAGCTTGAAGTAATTATAATAATATTAGTTGAGAGCATAAAAGCAATGGGAGGACAGCAGGATTGCACTTTTGATATATTACTTAAGTGTGGAATAGCTTTTTATTGAGAGGTCAGAATATCATGGCAGTTTGCAAGTTGCCATCAACTGAAGTGTTGTTCATGACTTTCCTCTTTTGATGGCAATATATATTTGTATGGAGTGTATCTCTTCATAACTTTCGTCTCAATTTCCAAAAGAATTCGTAAACAAAGTTACAGGAAACTGAATGTTTGTGTACTAAAGCAATTCAAGACTAGATTCATTATGTGAATAATAAATAATTCACCAGCAGTCACACACAATTTTTCTGTACAAATACATGTATATACATACATATATTTAAATATATAAAGTATAAGAATTTAATAGATGCCCAATTAAAAACACGAAGCATGCACTGCAGAACGGTGAAACTTTTAATTAGATATTTAACTAAAAATGAGGCATTTTAAACTTTGTGTGTTGTTTCTCTTTTTTAGTTAGTTTTGCTTTTGCCTTTGCTTTGCCTATGTCTTTTTTAATCCCATTGATGTGATGTTGATTGTCCCGGCTGCGTAGGCACGCTCAGAAGCCATGCACCTTGAGGCGATCGGCCTTGGCCAGGCCCACCTTGGTCAGCCACTGGCAAATGTTCTCGCGCTGATCGCCCTGGAGCTGCAGGACTTCGCCGTATTCGGGATGCTCAATGACGGTGCCGTTGCATGCGAATTCCTTCTTGCAGGAGCGCACGATTTTCTTGAGATCGTACTCGGCCGACAAACCCTGGACAGTGGTTAAAGTTTTGCGGCCGTTGCGCTGTTGGATGCGTATGTGGACAAGGCCGTCCTGAATGTCGTCATCGGGTCCCTTGATGGCATCGGCGAAAGGATCGCGCGAATTGAGATTCTGAATGGACATGCGAAGAGCTGTGCAGAAATCGCTGACTGTGAATAAACGAAATCAAAGGATGAGCACGAGAATAATAGCTTTTCTTTTCTTCTGACTTTTCGGAACGATTTAATTTGTTTAAATATATATTTCTTTTTTTTTTTATATATTTTGTTAGCCTGTATATCGGAATTTTATGACTATTGTTTTTTGTATGGCAACCAAAATATTTATTAAATGCAGCACTGAACTACAGATAAAATTATCTAAACCTGCTATGACTTAAATAAATCTCCATCCCTGAATTGAATTGAGTTTCGATTTTCGATAACAATGGCCCAGCCTACTCAGCTCGGCTCTGGTTCATTTGCCTGGGCAATCCAATGAAAACTAATGAAGTCTGCCAAATTAGCGCACGGCCCTCCGGCCTTTTCCGCCCCCCTTTTTGCAACGGTAATTAAAGCTAATAAGCTGGACAGATTTCTTTGGCGCCCCCTAGCCCCCGGGTTCTCAGGCACTTTAAGTGCAATTATTATTCAATTTATGAAATTGAACAGAGCTCTTTTATGACTACATCAAATTCGATAAGTGCCGCCTGCTGTTGCTACGCTCGTTCGCTCTATTGTGAGCCGTAAGAAAAACGTAAATTCAATTTTCAAATTGTAGCGAAAGGTATTGCTCAAGCATTGCGCGCTCTTGGCGCTGTTGCGTAACAAAGAATGTTTTTTGCTTGATTAATTTTCTGCGGTTGCAGAAAAGCAAAAAAAAAAAAAAAAAAAAAACCGAATGTGAGGCAACCAAAAAAAAAGATGTTAAGCAGATGTACAGTAAAACGAAACGACTAACTAATGCTCTTTCTAAGCAGAAGGAAATTTTTTTTTTTTTTTTTTTATTAATTTAAAATAATAATATTTATAGAAGCCATACAAGGTACTCCTGTTTCTGAGCTTATTGGCTACTTATTGTGCCCATACGAGCAATATCAGCTTAATATCAAAAAGTTCACCATGAAATTAAGCAATATTCAACACCTAGTGCACAGTATTGAATCTGTTCTTAAGTCTTGGAAATAAATCAGATTTCAGCTCCAACAGGAGAGGCAAGTTTCATGAGCTGCACTTTGAAAGCAAATGCTGTTTCTTAAGCCTTCAAATCCAACTTTGTCCTCGACAAAAGACTCATGTTAAGGCATAAGCACACGCATATATATAATGTAGAGTATGCAATATCTAAATGCTGCCTGTATTGATGCCCATTTTATGGCCACGGCATAAAAGAAACATGAAATAGAAAAAAACAAAAACCGAAAGAACAATGGAACAAGGGGAGGGGGAAGGAAGCGGCAAAAGGTAGCTACGCAAGCACAAAATCAAATTAGAAAATTTGCATTTAGTGTGAGTGAGTGCGCAGAAAAGTAGGCAACAAAAAGTTTTGCTGCCGAATCACATGCATATATTTGCCATAGTCACAGCGAAGCACCTGACGCTGATGATGATTCCGGTGTATAATTTTCTTTGTGAAACTAAATTAAAAAGTTTTCTCCGGCCTCATGGCTCGATCCATGTGCTTTTCGCTTATAATGAAGCTGTCATGTGGCCTGATGGACTTCGATTCTCTTTTTGTTTCTCCCGCTATACAGCTGGACCACGTAACATTGGTAATTTATCAGTCCGGTAAAGCAAATTTGCATTAAATGCGGTGCTGAGTTTTAATTGCTTATATGATGCCCAACATCAAAACTCATTCCAAGTGATAGACGAATGTACAATTGTGTGTACCCGCCGGGCAGCAAAAAGTTCCAGCGGAAAATATGATGAATGCGACGCGGAAACAGGGCGCGGTGGGCGTGTGCGGCAAATAATGAAAAATTACACCCACAGACACAAACACACGAGCACATACTACCCACTAAACAACTAAAAACTGTAACACACGTACACACACACGCACACACACATGCACATGCACAGGTATGTGCCGCTGCATACTTTTGGGCGCTGTAAAATATAAAATTCTATGAATTTGTACGTACATCATTTGAAAATCGTAAAAGTTGCAAGTGTTGCTTGTCGAGCACACAAAGACAGAGAGAGAAAGGACGAGAGAGAGAGAGAGACTGAGAGAGAGTGAGACTTCCTTTGTGTGTGTGTGTGTGTGTCAGAGCTGTCATAAACAGGTACAACAAAAAGGTAAACTTGCTTTTACTTTTATTATTTGCTGTGTAAAAAGCGCATACAGTTCTTTATATATAATTATAATGCCCGGCCAAATGCTGCTACCTCCAAAGAGCTCCACAATCATTCTGTTCTGTTTGGCAAATGGCGAAATTGAGTTGAGCAAAGCTGAAAAGCAGCCGTAGACGATTACACAGTGCAATTTGCCTTGGTTATTTGCCCAACTTGATGACTCCGCAAATTGTGCCAAAAATAATTTTATATGCTGCCGAGCCATGTGCAAGAATTTCTAATTTTCACTCAAGCAAATTAAAATTTCCCTACGTGTGTGCGTGTGTGTGTGTGTGTGTGTGTGCCTGTTTATGATTAAATTGATTAAATTTAAGTTAAATACAAAAGGTTTATGAATTATTCAAAATAATTTATGAAATTAAATACTAATTTATATGGGCCAAAGAGCAAAACTCATTTAAATATGATGCGAGTGAAATGTGGAAATGTGAAAATGTGAAATATGTGGGAAAATATGTAGATTTTCTTTGACAACTTTGAATATATAATATAATATTCAATTCAAAATTTCAGCTTCTTATTGTCTGGACCGAAAGCATTTAAGCTAAACAGAAATAAATAAGTTTCGTATTGAGGTCCACAACAAGCTGGAACAACTGAGATTTTAAGCCCTTATTGCTGGTATATTACAAGAGTATATTACCCTGCAGCCGTTGAAAAGAGACCCTTACACTCTTACATCTTTGAGCTGGCAAAGCTTGTTTTATTGAAAATGCATTCAACAGCTGATGGCTGCAGTTTTTTTTTTTTTTTTTTTCATGGTGGGGGACATAAGAATAAACACCATTTTTGTTTAAGAAGTAATCTTATGGTGGGGACTTTTTAGAATGACAAAGTTTCTCTTCTAAATGCCTTCAAGAAGACAATCGTAAGGAATGCACTGGAACCACAAAACAGTCAGCCACATAGATAAAATCATGATAAAGTAAAATTATTTTTAGACCTTCTTCAATTATATTAAATCAAATATTTTTTGTTTTGTTGCGGCTTAAAATACACCTGATACTTAGATTCCATTTATATCTAAATTTTTTATTCCGTACCAATTATGTTGTTACGCTATCAAATTTTAATGCCATGGTTTCCACACTTCACAATTTTTATTTTTAGTAAAAAAAAAAAATTATAAATAAAAAAATTCTTATTTCAGTATCAAATTGAAAATGACGACAAAAATGATTTTCATCCCATATTCAAAATGCCTTTGCCATTTTGCACCAACTTCTTACTCCACTTACATCGCTTCGATATTTAATAGCTGCGTTCTATACAATCTTATATATCAACAGCTCAACAGCCAGAATGAGACTCTGATTAAGAGCACTTTAGTGCTTCTCTGCTTGCTCAATTACAATTTTTCTTGGCCTTGATGTGTTGATTCAATAAATTTGGTCTGACAACTTAATCCTTAATTCCAAATCACTTCATGTGTGTCACACACACACACACACACACACACACATACTCACACACTCTGAGAGTCATCTGAGTGCAGCAATCAATAATGAGGTTAAATTGCAGGTTGACATGTGATAAACGGCTCGTGTGGTGTGTGGCCAACTAATGAATGCCATGGCCAAACACATTCATAGTCGGCGCTCTGTCATTTCTTCTGCCATCACCTAGGTGACAGGCATGCCTGCCAGTCCGACAGACAGCGGGGCAAACAAATAAAACCGCTTTTATTGTAATCCACAATGTCAAAACATTGCAGCGGATGTTTAGTCAAAGTGTTTGGGGCAGAGCAACAAAACGTAGTGGCATGCGAGCAGGCAATTGAACCTAAACACACATACAATCACGTGCTATCAAGTGTGTGCGTGTGTGTGTCAGTGACCTACCTGCACAGCTTTATCGCATGACACGCAGTTCTGCTGAAAATGATTTTACTATTTTTTTCTCTCTCTCTCTCTCTCTCGGGTAGCTTCCTTTAACGACACACTAAACCATAAAGTACTTATGCCGGGTAAGCCCAGAGAGAGGTGGGGAGAACGAGATAGTGAAAAAAAAGGTTTGGGCTTCATTGATTTTCCATTGATAAATAGCTGACAGTTCACCCTTGCCGAGCGAGCGAGCGCTCCACTGAGTGAGCGCTGCACATCAGGTTAAATAGTTTAAGACTGTCAGCCACATTAAAAAACAATTTCCGTTGCACGGTAAATGGAAAATTAGCGACAAAGTGACGTAGCGGAAATGAGTTGAAAGAGAGAGAGAGAAAAAAAAATGCTGCATGCAAAATTTATGTAAAGCGGTTTAACTTGCGACTCACCTTTGATTTTACTAGCTGAAGAAGAGACTAGGGCCAGTTGACTTACTAATTGATATGATATGCTTGCCATTGACTGATCGGCCACAAAATTGAATTAGTAAATTGCAAATGTTTGCCCCTAATCAATTGCTGAATGTATAAAAGAAAACTTAAAGCGATTTGTGTGCAGGTCAATCAACTGCCCGATGGCAGAACGAACATGTCACGCGTATAACGAGCGTCCCACGGCAGCGTCGCATAAAACTCTCGTAAGTAAGAAAATATATATATATATATGTAGAGAAAATCTCAAAGAAATATTAATAAAAGATGAGCGACATTAGTGTCTGCTGCTGCTTCTTCTTCTTCGTCTTATGTCCAACCCAAAAATCGTAAAAGTAGCAAACAGAAATAAAGAAAGAAAGAAAACACTTTTTACTACATCCTTTGAAACTGAATGAACGCCTCCTGCTGCCTCCAGCCGCCGGCATTTTGCATTGGCTCTCATCTAACCTCGAGCGTTTTGTTGACCTTTTTTCGTGTCTTCGCTTGGCTAGGAATGAAGCAAAAAAAAAAAAAAGAAATAGAAAGAAGAATAACGAAGAAAAAAAGATGCTGTTGGCTTTAGCTTTAGCTCTTTAAACCGTTAGCCAAAATGAAAGAAAAAATGGAAGAAAATGCCGTAAAATTTGTAACACTTTTTTGGGACTAGTCAAACACACACACATAGGCAAGCAGGACTTCGACACAGACGTTATGGTCTCGAGATGTTTTCTTTGACGAAAAAGTATGACACGAAATAACAA